GTCGAACATAGGCCATTCGGTCGTTGACTGGTTCCCATGCTAGTAGTGCACTTTGCATATTTTACGACCTTTTACCTTACCTTATCCCTTGCTCTCCGAGGATAGAGCCATATGTTGTTAAAATTTTTGGATATTACCTTCAAAATAAAACATTCTCCCTCTGTGACAAAACAGAGTTTGTAAAACGTGTACAGCAGGGCAAGGAGGAGTTATTCCGTTCCTCACGAAGACGCCGACGTAGCCGCCGGCAGGCAATACGCTTCTTCAGCAGTCTTGCCCGCGTCATTTTGAAGGGGGACGAGCTCAGGGAATGTTTCAGCCAGCCAATCGTACACCTCCTTCTGACGCCCTTTGGCGGCCTAGGGAGGGAGTTGGAAAAGAAACAGGAATGCTGACATCTTGAAAGCGTTGGATAACGTCATAATCAAGACATGCGAATTGAGTAGAATGTGAAGATGACAAAAACAGCAGAATTTATTGGATCCATGAGACAGGCTAATACTTTACTGAAGTGGGGATACCCAGCTCAGTTTATAGACAAGTATAGTAAACCATTACGACCTAAAACGACAGAACAGCTAGTTCCTAAAAGGCCTGTTTTCATATCCTTGCCCTCTAAGGGCGACAACATTTTAAATACCATCAAGAGAGGCTTACTTAACGCCATTGAAATAACGTGCTGTGCTACTGAAATCATATTTTGCAAGTCAACTAAGTCTCTTCCAATTCCTTGTGCGAAGGATGTTTTACCATTGCATGCTACCTTCAATTGTGTTTACGAATTTACATGCACTTACGGATGCAAGTACATAGGGCGAACGCAAAAGCCAGAGCCAAAGAGCATTTGCCTAGTTGGTCATTGAAACGGGAAAATAGAACCGATTCGTCTTCCATTACTGAATACTTTCTAGATACGGGCCATTCTGTGGACCCCAAAACTTCTTTCCGAGTACTTGTTTGTTCACGAACAACTCTCACCTTGCGCTATCTGGAGGCAGCCTATAAACGGCGGTAAAAACCTGGCATATGTAAACAGTTGGAGCATGTGGTTAACCTAACCTTGCCTTGGTGACATCTGACTTCCTGATTTACACAGTTCCCTGCCCATCTTTTCGCCTTAACAATTTTTTTCCTTTGTTTTTCTTTCCACGTTCTTTTAACTCGTTTACTTAACTAATTTGCCTTTGTGACCATGCTCTTTGACCTTATTGACCTTTCTGCACGAATCCATTTTTTTATTTTCTCATTCTCACAATGAGAGGTAGCAGTTGATGAACGCTCTCTAAATTCATGGATCCAATAAATTCTGCCGTTTTTGCCATCTTCAAATTTGCACCTGGGAAAAGATGCTTTAAATTAAGATGTAGAACGATTCGTTTCAAAAAAAAGCTAATTGTGGATTGAGATAATCGGGAAAAAAGTCAGCAGTAACGAAAAGTAACGAGGCTTTTCATGTGCACTTACGGAATGCAAGCAGGACTCGCCGTCCGTATCCCGAAGCAGCACTAGAGGACTGCCACCAGCCTGTGCTAGGAGCTTGACAACAGCCAGGTGTCCAGCATAGGTGGCACGATGCAGAGGAGTAGCCTTGAGGGAATTGGTGGCCAGGCAGGCATCTGCCCCGTGTTCCAGGAGGATTTTGCAAACCTCGAGGCGTCCATTTCTAGCAGCGTAATGCTAATAAAAGGCTGCATTAGGACTGCATCAAGAGGCAACCTACCAGAGCTGTGTAACCGTAATTGTCCTGTGCGTCGACCTTGGTGCCGGATTTTAGCAAAGAGGACAGTCTGAGTGTATCTCCGTAAACTGCACAGTTCCAAATACCACGTTCAAAGTCTAACTCCTCGAGGGTTTGAGCCAGGGGATTCGGCTGGACACATGAACATTGACCTTCCTGGTGATCATGATGAGACATCAAGACGCGTGTAGGGTAGATTTTTTTCCGCAAGTCTAAAGCATAAAGAGAGAAGGCAAGGAAGGAGATACTCAGAGCCCTCACTGCATGTAACTGCAAAAGTATGTCTACACAAAAATTGCTTAGTGGATCATAATGACGACAGAAGCACAGAGTCATCCGCACACATCGAGATGTGTAAAATATGTGTCTACTGACTGAGTAGCAAGTCCTCGATTTTGCAATCCTTCTCGATAAACTGTGCAGCAAAAACCCCACTTAAAAAGGTCAGGTCAGAACCATCCACAGCACAATACTCACCAAAAATATAGAGGAAAGAACATGAACACTGCTAAAATAAAAAACGGAGGAAAGATCCCTTGTAAGGTCTCGAGAACCTGCTTTAGGTTTGATAACACAGTGCTATTTTAAGTGAAATGAGCAAAAGCCTAGCATCATGGCAGAAAAACAAGCTGATCCCGAGGAACTGTTTCGTCCTTTGATACGATAAGAAGTTCAAAAGAATAGACTTGACGTGATCTCCCGTAGGAAGTTTAGTTTGAGAAACACATTTTACAACATTTTTCCTGCGCGCGAAATGACAACCAAGAACGAGAGAACCAAATTTCCCACTGAATCCGACTACGCTCTTTATCGGTACTTAAATAACTCAGATCTATATATTGCCTATTTAAAGTCTAAAAGGCTACCTCAACATTGAGTGTCGCGGAATGAATCTGATGCGCCGTCAAGTGCGGTACAAGGCGGCAGAAAGTGGGCAGATAACGCCTAGTCAGACAGTATTGTCGGCATGGCCATTTCTGGCTTACTAGCCATCGGCAGCCAGATATACCCAGACCCG